CCCTGCCTGGGATAGGGATGTGCCTGGAAACACTTTTGGACAAAACAGAGTTTAGCCAAGTGTGGTGGTGCATGCCTGTAATCCCAGCACTCTGGTAGGCTGAGGCAAGAGGATCACCAGTTTGACCCAAGCCTGGGCACCTTAGTGATGTCATGAGACTGTGTCTCAGAATTAAAAATAAAAAGGGCTGGGGGTATAGTTCCGTGTGAAAATCAAACAATTCTCCATAAGCCAGAACTGGTCTCAAACTGACCAGATAGAATCCCACAAGAAAAAAATAGAGACCTGGACTGGGGTTCGCGGTTCAGGGGAAAGATAGGAAAGACCTGTTGATAACGAAAAGAAAGACTTGGGGCTCGATGACTGAAAGCTGAAGATGAATCATCAGCACAAGGGGCTGCTGGAGGGCCTAGGTGCCTCCTCTGTGGGAACAGAGGTCTGCAGAGGGCACACACACCAGCCCATGCTGGGTGGGCTGGACAAAGGTGGCTACTGTGCCAAGGGATTTGGAAAACCAGCTTTGGAAGGAAGTTTTCCTGTACTAGGGTTGTAGCATCCAGGGAAGAGAAGTAGAGTCCATGGAAAGTGGCATTCAAGGATGGGAGCCATGGGCCAGACATCGAGATGGGCTGAGGCGAGCTTACTTTCCAGTCTCTCTCCTTCCCTTGCCCGGCGCCTCTGATCCGCTGTCTGTCCTGTCCTCTGTGGCTAAGCTGGCTGTCTGCACAATCTTTGCCTAGCTCAGTAGCTGGTAGCTTTGCTTCCCTAACCTGGCCTGGAGCCAGTAGATGTCACAGCCTGACCTTGTTTTCCAGCCCAAGGTGGGGGTACTTGGCTCACACATGCCCAAACCCAGGCCTGTAAGGCCTTAAGTAACACTGGCCTTGGGCTACAGCTACACACAAATGTCGGGTTTTTTTTTTTTTGTTTGTTTGTTTGGTGGTACCAGGGATCAAACCCAGGACCTTGTGCTTGCTAGGCAAGCACTTATTTCACTGAGCTATCTCCCTGGCCCCTAAACACAGATATCAAGTGTCTCTCTGGCCATGGGGGTCACATAGGCTCCATCTTCTTGCATCTCCCTGTGTGGGATTCCCAGCCATGAATCAGGAGCTTGGAGTGGGGCTCCTGGCCTGAGGGGCTTGAGAGTTTTCAGGAATGCTTCTGGGCTCCGGGTAAAGGGGTAGGTCTGTATCTCATATGCCACTCTTCCTTCGGAAGGCCTACCCTCCTAAAGACCATCTGAGACTCTGGCTTGCCATCTCCCCATTTCCCCTCTATCCTTTGAGGAGCAAGTGTGCCAGGTCCCTGTCATCTTTGCTGAGGGTTTTGGCCATTAGGATCGTGATGCTCTTCTGGATTTGGTGCTGGGGAGGGACACCCCTATTTCTGCACTGAGTCTTTTAAGTTTACAAGGATTTCCTACCCTGCACCCCAAGACTCGTTTGCACTTTGGGGACAGAGTCATAGTCTAAAGCACATGTGGGTGTGTTCTCTAGTTCAGGCTATCTCCTGTACTGATTTGAAATATTTTGTCTCATCATTCATAGAATACTCATTCTTGTGTCCTAATTCTCCATTCCAAATACAAAGTCACTTTTGAATGCTGTCCTGATGGTGGGTGCCAATGGCCCATATCCCTGTGGATGGCAAGGACCCCTGATGGAGTCTTTGTGGCCAGTGTCCTGGTTCCTCCATGCTGACTGCCCCAGCCATGGCCTCAGGTCTGTCCCTCATTTCTGATCCTTCCAGCCAAATCCCAGTTAGCTCCTCCTTTATAGGGGCTCCTCTGGGACTTTTGACCTGATTGAGTTAAAGGGAGGCTCCCCTTCCCCTAGGTAAAGCCCAGAACCAGCCTAAGCTGGTTTTAGTTCCTCTTTGCACCTCTCTGGTGAAATGAGACAGTGCACAGAGACCGGCTTTGTAGTCTGTGGTATTCTGGTCACCCTGAGGTTGTCATCCATGGAAAGGGATCAGGAAATCCGGGCTCTGGGTTTATACCAGCTTGGCCCCACTCCCCAGCAACTTCTGGCTGGGGTGCAGGGTGGGACTGTGGGTATGGTGCATGACCAGTGAGGTCACTGTAGTCCCTGGTTCTGTACATAAGAGGATATTTCTTCAAGCAAGGTTCCTGTAGGCAAGTTCTTTAGGTTTATCTAGACCTGGTTTCCCAGGGGGGTGGCTCCATGGCATGACCACTGTGGTGACCCAGGTCCTTCTGTCTGGTTCTTGCCCATCTCGAATTTTTGCTTGGGTCCTCTACTCATAAGAATTAGCAGCTCACATTAGGAAGGCATGTACTTTAGGTCGACAGAGTTTATCTTGAAGTTCAAGAGGAGGAAGGGAACACAGAATGGTCAACCCTTGGTTTATAGCCATGAAACCCAGGGTTGAACCCAACACTGAACGGCAAAGTCTAGTGATCTGTGAAAATGGACCAGTGCTTGGTTTAGACAAAGGCAGAGAGGAGAATAGGGAGCAAACAGAATGGAAAAAAAAAAACACTGGACTCTAGAAACCAGTGCTGAGCTGATGTCAGCTTCACCACCAGTCAAGAAATACTTATTGGAGAGCTGGGTGAGGTGGCACATGTCTGTAATCCCAGCACTCAGGAGGCTGAGGCAGGAGGTTCATCTTGAATTTGAGGCCAGCCTGAACTACAAGATGAAACCTGTTTCAAACTTCTCCACCCTTCCCAAAAGAAATGCTTATTGGAGCTGGTGATGTAGCTCATTGACAGAGCAATTGCCTAGCACATAAAACACCCTGGGTTCCATCCTCAGCATCAAACAGAATGAAATGAAACACCTCAAAACACACATACTTATTAGGGAGCCACCCCATGGAAGACTCTTCTGCCTGCTCTGCCACCCCAGGGTTGACACTGGGGCAGTCTACCAGTGCTGCTCCTGCCCCATATGGAGTGGTAGGGCTGAAGGGCACAGCCCTGCAGAAAGAGTGTGTGGCAGGTAGGTACATGTGGAACAGCACTGATGGCTGCTTAAAGAAGGGTCCCAGCTTTCCTGGCCACCTGGCCAGAGCCTGCTGAGAGGTCCAGGCGCAGCCAGGTGCCCAGCAAGGGCCCCCAGTTTGAGATTTGACATGAGGAAGTGGGTTAGCAGGTCTTTCTTCCTGGGATGTAGGTTTTCTTCATGACACGGAGCATGTCCTGCTGCCCCTACCGCCTGCCACTACCTGTCTCTAGTAGGTCACACAGTGAGCTGAGGTGTGCACTGAATGGAAACTCTTGGGGTTTCTCAGAAGCTAGGAATGGCTAGGTCTCCAGTGGTTACTAAGACATCCAACTGGGTCAGGGCTTGTGGTCAGTTTGAAGCCTTGGGCAGAGGATATTTAGTAACTGAACCAGGTGTGGCAGGTGGTAGGGACAAGGGACTAGGGAGGGAGCGTGTTGCTTTGTAGGGCAGAGAGGTTTTAATCAGGTCTGAGGTACATGTCAGAGTCTGTGATTAGACCAAGGCTGGTTTTGCAGATGTGCCGCCTGGACAGGCACACTGGGCTTGTGTTTACAAGGACCTCACACTGGGTTTGATGCTCGCCAGGGCCATCTTGGAAATCTTAATACTCTTGTGAACAAGAGGCTTTGCATTTTCATTTGCACTGGACCCACAAGCCATGTCTCAGGTTCTGATTAGCCAGCTGGCTTAGAGGAGTGGTCTGATTTCAAGAGGTTGGGTCTGAAAGGCCAGATCTGATGAAACGAGCCAGGGGGCATGCCCCGTAGCTCAGTTCTTTAAGTGGCTGCTTCAACAAAGCAGTCAGGCTCAGGTTGCTTGGGTTCGATCCCCACAACACAAGACAGCCAGTCATGCCTTGAAGGCATTCCGAGCAAAAAAAAAAAAACAAAAAACACTTCTGATGAAACGAGCCCTTCCTCACACCTCTGCCTGGGTCAGAGAGGCAGGCTCCTCTCGGCAAGTCTGGGAAGATGGCAGGTGGAGTTGCAGAGCACACCCTGCCTCTGGGAGCTGGAGGGAGGTGGCAACACCTCCGTGAGTTTAGCATCAGGAGAGCTGGTAGGAGCCGGGGAGTGGATCCTCCCTGAGACAGCTCAGAATGGGATTTTTTTTTTTCCCTAGCTCAGGCTGCCTTAAGGGTGGGACTGGTGCCGCTTGTGGAGCTGGAGATCGAACCGCGGTTCCCTGCGCCTGACTGTTTGCCCAAGCAGGCGCGTTAAACAACTGAGCTAACCCACAAGCCCCCAAGAGTGCAGCTCAGAGAGAAATCCTTTCTCCAATGAGAGAAAGAGACCATGATGAAGTTTTCAATAAATGCTTACTACCAGTCCTCTGCTGCCTGTGTATGGGAGCCACACATATGGGAGCATCCTTTGGGAGTGTAGCGACAACCCAGCCAACTGTAGCATTGTGCTTCACGGGAGACTCAGGGGGTGGCAGAGAGCTGTGCTGAGGACTGTAGCACTCACTGGACAGGCCAAGAAGCCCTACCTTATCTCTAGAGACTCCAGTTCTTTGTGGAGGCTGCGACATGCTCTAAGATGTTTCTAGCACCAATACAAGACGCTCTCAGCACCTGAGCACTCCTGACCCCCAACTTGGCAGCACTGGGATCCTCTCCCTGACTTTGATCTGGTCTCACACTCCTTCCTTCTAGAACATAATCCTTGTCTAGTAGCTTCCAAGGAGTGCCTGAGCTTTTTTCTCAGTTGAACCATAAACTACTGAGGGCAAAGATTACGTCTTCCTCTTCTCCATGCAAATAGAATGTCATGATCACACAGCAAGAGATGAACAACTACGTGCTGATCAATTGATTAGGAGTGCCAGCCTCTGACAGTACATGCTCCAAAGTGGTTTCCTGTCTAGTCCCTCACTCTAACCCTAGGAGATAGGAGAGAACATCTGCTCACTATTAAAAAATTCTCCATATTCCAGGCTGTCCCCTCTCCTTTTGACCCTGGCAGAGAACACTGAAGATTCCAAGCAGGGCCCGGGCAACCAGGGGCAACTGTGCCTACTCACCAGGTCCTCCATGTTGTACTTCATGAGTTCCATGTCCAGGGTGAGGGGGTAGTTCATATTGCAGCCGTGAGTCCCCAGACTGGTCACCGTCTGATGCTGAGAGCTTCTGTGGTGTCACTGGTGCCTATAGAGAGGTGGCAGGCGTCAGCTGCAGATTTAAACAAATGAGCTGCGCAACTGTCTCCTGTGGCTGAGGAGGGCCTGCTGCCTACCTCACAACTCATCATTTTTTTTTCCATTGGGTCTTTTCTGTTTTTTTGAAGAAAAAGGGAAAATCCCCCATAGCATCAGAGCTAGTCAAGCATTTCGGTGCCTTTCCTGGCAACTGTTGTCTCAAATGGGGCTTGAGGCTGGTACAAAGGCAGTCCTCACTTCAGCCTATGTATGGGACCAGGTCTCAGGACAAAAACCACCCCTGACAAGGGAAACTCCCCAGAGAAAGACGACGGGACAAGCACATTTTCAGCCATCTCTCCTCCAAGCCCCCTCTAGACCCTTACCTACCTCACCACTCAGTAGACCAACCATCCCAGTTGGCCCCGGACTAAAAGTCCCTTATACTGGGAAGCCCCACAGGCCTAGGCAAACCAGGACCCTGGTTCTACTTACAACCATCCTCTTGCTCAGGGAGGGGTCTTCCTTTTCCCTTTTCAGTTCAAGTTTGGAAGAGATAGGTCTGAATTTACTGAAGGGAACAACCCTAAAATAGCACTGGAAGACATAATGAAATTACCAAAGTAAAATGTGCTATAAATATAGTCACCTTCTGACTCAAAACAACATTGCTCACCTACAAATGAACTTTGTTGACATGTAAGTTATTATGATGGGCTACCTAGCTAGGGAGGATGTTGGATATCATCCCAATTCCTGAACTTTGTGTGTGTGTAGGGCCAGGGTGGGATGGAACCCAAAGTGTGGTAGCTGGCACATCCTCAGGCTTTTTCTATCTTTTTGTTTTGAGACAGGGTCTTGGTAAATTGCTAAAGTGCCAAGCTGGGAATTTGGAATCCTCCTGCTTCAGCCTCCTAAAGTGCTGGGATTACAAGCGTATGTTCCCATATCTGGCTGCCACCCTTGATTTTCACACAGGAGGACCTGAAACTTAGAGAAAGCAAACAACTTACCCAGGGCCATGCAGCTACCAGTGAGAACTAATGTTTGTACTTGGTCAGATATCTCATCCAGCACACTCTGAGTCAGGCTGCGGCTGCCGCTCTCCCAGGCTCACAGAACCCTTTCCCGGTCTCTTGCTCTGGAGGGCTTCTTTTACCAAGCCTGTTTGATGTTGATCCTTTTCTTATCTTTGTAAGTTTCTTTCCCATCATAGGAGAAAGTAAGAGAGAAAGCAAGGGAGAGCAAATAACGGAAAGCTGTTGGGGAAGTGTGGAAAAACGCGACAGCAAGGATGACTATAGCAAGACACCAGGAGACCAACAGATAGAGGCCATCCTGTTCCTCCAGGACCCCCAGGCATGCACAAAACCCGAGCATATGATTCTGGCCTGTGTCCAACTTCATTTGCATTGGAGTTTTGACCCAGCCCCTTTGGATGTCATGACATTTCCTCTAAAAACTTTGTATGGTCAAAAATTCCCCCTCCCTGTGGGTGAGCTGAGTGAGATACCCCAACAGGCCATGAGTCCTGGCCACCCCCACCTATAGAACCTCCTATGGGCCTAGGACCTTAAGACAGTGGACCCACAAAGACAACACTTATGCAATGTATTAATTATTTTATTTTTATTTATTTATTCATTTTTTTGGCGGAACCGGGGATTGAACTCAGGTCCGTGAGCTTGCCAGGGAAGCACTTATTCCACTGAGCCATCTCCCCGGCCCATGCAATGTATTAATTATTATAACTGTCCTACTAACCTGTTTTGAAACTGTTTCATTCCTATTTTATCTTTTTCTTCTCATTAAAATTAATTTTAAAAAAGACAGTGGACCCCAAACTTTCTGATATCAGGCACTGGTTTCATGGAAGAAAATTTTTCCAAACACATGGGAGGCGAGGAGGAGGGTAGGGAGGAAGAGGGCTCTTTCTGGATGATTTAAAGGAGCATGCCACCTCCATCCTTGCACGTCCACTTCACAGGAGGGTTTGCACCCCTCAGAGACTCAAATACTGCTGCCCATCAGGTAAGAGGCAGAGCTCAGGCAGTAAAAAGCCATGGATGGGAAGCTGCTGTCAATACCCAGGAAGCTTTGTGACTTGTCTGCTGCTCACAGTCTGCTGTGCAGACCAATTCCTAACAGGCTGAGGACCAGTATTTCTGGGGCCTGGGGTTTGGGACCCTTGCTTTAGGAGATCCAGTACTCATCCCCCATGAGGCAGTTCTCCCTGGTGGGCTTTCATGCTGTGGTGTACAGTTTTGTTTCTTTTGCTTTCCATAAATCTTACTCTTTTATGCCTTTTGAATTCCTTGTTCATTTCTTTCAGATTCCAGGAACCTGGGGACAACTCCCCCAAGAGCCTCCGTCTGTGATCATGTTTGCCATGGAGCGACGAGCCAGCCAGAGGTAAGGAAACGCCCATATTCTGTTGTCTTGTTTTGATTGTCTGCTTGTCCTCTTGGGGGCTTAGCTTGGGTGGTTATGTGTCTATAGGGCATCTGCCACTTGAAGACTTCAGTGACATGATCATGGGGAATAGCACTGAAGTTCTTCCCCCTCCTTGGGCACAAGATCATTTCCATGTTATCTGACAGGTTTCTTTTGTATTCGTGCAACAATAGATAAGATGTCATGGTGTGATCTTTTCCTACACATCAACTGGAGACCTGTTGAGTTCTGGGGGACACCCTTACAAGTTTGAGTTTTCTGCTGTTGAACCTGGGGTTTTTCTCCCAATGGCCTGAGTTTCCTACTGATGTCTCTGGTGAAGGGTGTGGCACCACTGCCCTGCAGCGAGCTGGCCTTTCATGGCCCATGACTGTAGATGATGCCTTCAGTCCAAGGCCACGAGTCCTAGCAGCCACATCCCTCCAGTTTATTTAAAAAAAAAATTTTTTTTTATTTTAACATTTACAGTTATTGTGTGTGTGTGTGTGTGTGTGTGTGTGTGTGTGTGGCCAGCTCAGCCCACCAGGGGGTGCGGCTGGCTGGCATGTGGTGCTGGGGGATTGAACCGCGGTCCCTGTGCTTTGCCAAGCTTGTTCCAAGTAGGTGCTTTAGACCACTGAGCCATCTCTCCAGCCCCACATCCCTCCAGTTTAGAAACTGGAGCTCATCTCAGCTTCTTTGAAAATAGCTCCTTTGCTATTTCTTGGCCATCCAAAGAAAGACTAAGAAGGGCAGAGTCTGTGCTTCTGTGATAACATATTTCTTCTTCTCCTTCTCCTCCTTCTTCTCCTCTTCCTCTCCTTTCCCACATCCCAGTTTCTCTTTTCTTTCTTTCTTTTTTTTTTTGGCAGAACCAGGGATTGAACTCAGGCCCTTGTGCTTGCCAGGCAAGCACTTATTCTACTGAGCCATCTCCCTGGCTCCTCTCTTTTCTTTTTAACTGTTACTTACCATTTTACAATATCTATTGTGCATTATCTATTGTGCATTTTGGGTCTTATTTACTCTTCCATCTTCTCCCTTTTTTTTGGAGACAGGGTCTCACTCTGCAGTTCAGGCTGGCTTTGTGCTCACTTCTGTAGCCCCCAGGCTGCTCTTGAACTCACAGAGATCCTCCTAGCTCAACCTTCGGGCCCCACAAGGGGTGCTTGCAAGAGAGTGTGCCAGGGCATCCAGGGCCGAGACTGTAGGCATGTGCGGCTGGGGATTGAACTTGGGTCCTTGTGCTTGTCAGGTAGGTGCTTATGTCTCTGAGCTATCTCTCCAGCTCCTCTTCCAGCTTCTCTATGTGCAGGATTAAAAGCCACTTCTCTGAAAGGGCCCAAGGGATATTGATCTTAGAAAGCCCCTAGAACTAGATATAGACCGCATTGATTTTTTTTTTAATTTATTTATTTATTTATTTATTTATTTATTTATTTATTGTGTATGTGTGTGTGTGTGGCCAGCTCAGCCCACCAGGGGGCGGGGCTGGCTGGCATGTGGTGCTGGGGGATTGAACCGTGGTCCCTGTGCTTTGCCAAGCTTGTTCTAAGTAGGTGCTTTAGACCACTGAGCCATCTCTCCAGCCCCGACCGCATTGATTTTTTTTTTTTTTTTTTTTGTGGAACCAGGGATTGAACTCAGGCCCTTGCACTTGCCAGGGACGCGCTTATTCTACTGAGCCATCTCCCCGGCCCCCAGACCGCATTGATGACCCCCATTTAGACCAATGTTTTTGTCTAACTGGCATACCTAAAACATTTTTTGTGAGCAGCTTTGGGAGAGCTCTTAAACTGCAGTTACAGGGTTAACTTGCTCTTTTTTTCTTTCTGCTCATACTAAGATACTTTTGCTATTCCTTTTTTTTTTTTTTTGGTAGCAGGAATCAAACTCAGAACCTTGTGTTTTCCAAGGAAGGCGCTATGCCACTGAGCTATATACACCTAGCCCTTAATTTGCTATTCAGGGTTATCCAAAAACCTGTAGCCCAACCAGCCCTAACTAGAATGTAACAACTATCAGGTGAGCTAACTCTAGGACCAAAAGGGGAAAATATATGGCAAGAGCCTTTAAAATCCAAGAGGCCAGGAGGCTTGTTACAGAAGGGAGAGGTTAAGTAGGGTAGAGAAAGATATATAAAGACATTTAAAGGGCCGGCTAAATAACTCAGTGGACTAAGGTGAGTTATTCAGGTGAAAACAGGCACAGGGGTCAGGGGTTTGATCCCTGGGGCCTGCTGTGCTGGCCCTGCCCCTGGGGTGTGCTGAGTCAGCAATTGAGACTGGGCATGGTGGTGTACGCCTGTAATCCCAGCTCTTGGGAGGCTGTAAACAGGCGGATCACTAAGAGTCCAATCTAGTGAGACCCCGAACACCCTGTAGACCTTCCCTAAAATACAAAAAATAAACAAACAAGAAAAGACAGTTAAAGATATGAGGAGCGCTCTGTCACCTTGGGGTTAGGGAGATGGCTTAGTAGAATAAGCACTTCCCTGGCAAGCGCAGGGGCCTGAGTTTAATCCCCAGCTCCG